CCTTTCTCCCTTAAGTTGCTTTATCAGGGTACTTTATCACAGCAACAGAAAAAAGTAAGATAAGGAGGAAGTGGGGAGCTAGGCTTCAGGTCCTGAAAACTCCTTCAAGGGCACACAGGCTGACACAGGTCAGACACAGTCTCAGTTAATGGCAGCACCATTGGTTTTCCGTTGCTCAAGTGAAAATCTGTAGAACTGACCTTAACTTTTCCCTTACTTTCCATGTCTAGAACCATTTTTTACTCCCTGGGTTGCCACCAGTGCCAATCCACCCTCGAATCTTACCTGACTAGTCTCCTCACTTCCTCTGTGCTCCACAACATTCTGGTCTCAGCAGAAGATCCAAAGGAGTGATAGAGCCCCTCAGTGAAAAGCCCTCCAGTGGCTCCCACCTCACAAAGAGTCAAAGTTCAAGTTCTTGCAAGGATGTATTCAGCCTTAAGTGACCCACCCCAGTTACCTCTCTACCCTCATCACCAACTCTTCTTCCCATTGCTTGCTGCGTCCAGCCACATGGCCTCTTGCTGCTCTGAGAGTACTGGACACACCTCTGCGCAGTTCCTATGTGCCCACAGTGAACTTGTCCCCCTCTGTGCAGTTTTAAGTCTGCAGTCACCCTGGGTGTAGTGATGGATACCATTACAACCTGCCATTTAGGAGGGAGAGACAGAAGGATTGAGTTCTGGGTCAATCTGGGCTACATTGTGAGACCTTATCTCAGATATAAATAAATAAATAAATAAACAAATAAATAAATAAATAAATTAAATAAATAAATAAATAAACAAACAAACAAACTGTGAGTGGAACTCTTACTTTTATTCCCCACCACTTATATAATGTATAATCAATGGATTTTGATTCTTCCTACCTCTTGAGGGCAGAGATCTTTGTCAATTTGGGCTGCTGCTGGTTGCACCTGGTACCTAGGAGACCTTCCATGAATGGTTTACTCTATAGAACAAACAGACTAATGCAGATGCCTGTTGCCACGCACTTTTTCCTTGTAGGATGCAGACAATAACAAGGAAAATATTCTGACACATATATATGAGGGGGAGTTGAAACGGTCTCCTTGTAGACCCAGCTGGCCTGGAACTCACTATGTAGACCAGGCTGGCCTCCATCTCACAGAAATCCACTTGCCTCTGCCTCCCGAGTGCTGGGATTAAAGGTGCCCACCACCACACCTGGCTTAATTCAAATTTTGAAATAGGCCTCTCATGCCAAAAATGTGAAAAATAATAAAGCATCTGTGTACTGTTTGACCCATAAGCCCCCAATTTGCCACTTTTAGATTAGATTTAAGTGGCTCTGCCATCTGTTGTAGTCTGTTCTCTGTTGCAATAACATAAGAGAAAAGCACAGACTGAGGAATGTATAAATATCTGGGACTATAACTTGGTGGTAGAGGGCTTGCTTACTAGCATGCATGAGGCCATATGTTTAGTTCTGAGCATCACAGCCAAACAAAACAAGCAAAGGCTTATTTTGGCTCACACATCTGGAGGCTGGGGAGTGCAAGTACCTGCAGTTGGTGTCTGCTCAACTTCTGGTGAGGGCTCGGGCTGTGTGGCAGTGTCATGGGAGTAAAACAAATACAATAAATAAAATGTAATAAAAATTTATATTAAAAATTGTTATATCTTATGAGTAGAATTTTCACCAAAACCAAAAATGAACAAATGATATGTATGTAGTTTTGTTTATAATAGTAAACAAGTATATAAAATAATAAGATGCTGTGTAATAGAAATGGTATCTCATTTAAGATCATTTTGTCTGGCATAGTGGCACAGGCCTATAATCTCTGCACACTGGAGGCAAAGCAGGAGGATCTCAAGTTCAAGGCCATTATGATTCTGTAGTGAGACCCTATGTCAAAAACTAAACCCAATCCAATCAAAACAAATAAACAAAAAAAACCGCTATATTTTATGAATTTTGACTCAACATGTTCTCTTTTCCCACTTTAAAATTTAGTTTATGTGTATGAGTATGTTGCTTACATGTACGTAAGTGCACCCACGTTATGCAGTGCCCACAGAGACCAGAAAAGGGCATCAGATTCCCTGGAACTAGAGTTAAGGATGGTTGTTAGCTGCCATGAGGGTGCTGGGAATGGAACCCAGGTCCTCTGCAAGAGCAGCCACTGCTCTGAACCACTGAGCCATCTCTCTAGCCCCCACTTTTCCCTCTTCATGAATGTTGATTCATGTTTTAATACCTCCCTCCTTCTGGTCTGTTTTTTTTCCTGGTCCTTATTCAGGTCTGTTTCTTTCCTGTTTGCTTTGATAAGGGATGATGGCCACATTAATTTTATTAAAGAAAGTATTAATATAGCAATGATTAAAGACCAAAGAAAACAATTAAAAGAATCAAGTCAGTGAACTTAAATTTGTTGGGTAGATTTCTGCAGGACCCTGAGCTGACTAAAATGTTGATGCAACATGTTGTTTTTAGGCCTTGTCACATAACCAGCCATAAAGAGAAATTTATACTGTTCCCCAAGAGTTGAAATACCTTTCTCTCTCTAAGTCTAAAATTTTGTTAGCTTTTTTTACCACCACCCATATCTCTTTCCCTTGAAACTTCTGAAAAACAACTTTATCTTGCTATAATCTTATTGCCCCCAATCTAGCAATCATCATTTGACACTTGAACTTAGAATACTTTTCTGTACTTCAGCTTTCCTTCCCAGTGATGGAGAGAAAATATAATTTCTTTCCCCTCAATCCTTGTAAGTTCGTAGTTGGGATAGAGTCCTGCAACAAAAGGTAGAGAAATGAGAGAAAATAAGCAAGTTTGGGGCTGGAGAGATGGCTCAGTGGTTAAGAGCACTGACTGCTCTTGCAGAGGACCGGCGTTCAATTCCCAGCACCCACATGGTGGCTATGAACCGTCCTTAACTCCAGTTCCAGGGGAATCAGAAGCCCTCTTCTGACCTCCATGACATTGCATGACACGGGTGCACTCACATACATGCAGGCAATACACACATACACATAAACTAATAGAAATAATAAAATTTTTTAAAAAAAGAAGCAAGTTTATCAACATGCACATCACGTGGGAGAAGTGACAAGGCACCTGGTCAGAAGTCTGGCTTCTGGAGTTTTCCAACCAAGAACAGTAAATTTTATTACTTTACTTATTTATTTTTATTTTTTATTTGTATGCATGTGTGTGCACATGCAATGACTAGTATGTAGAGGTCAGAGGACAACTTGTGGGAATTGGTTCTCTCTATGTCTTTTTGAGACAGAGTCTTCCTGTACAGCTGGTCTGGCACTTGCTATGTAGACCAGGGTGGCCTTGATCTCACAGAGCTCCTCCTGCCTCTGCCTTCCAAGTTCTGGAGCTAAAGGCATGAGCCACCACACCTGGCTTTATTTTATTTTATTTTTAAAGAAAATGTGTATGAGTGTTTTGCCTCCATGTATGTAAGTGCACCATGCAAGCAGTGCCCATGGAGACCAGGAGAGGGCCTCGGTCAGATCCTCTGGAACTGGAGTTAAAGATGTTTGGTAGCTGTCATGTGAGTGTTGGGAAACAAACCTGGATCCTCTCAAGAGCAGCCAGTGCTCTTAACCGCTGAGCCATCTTTCCAGCCCCCAATACTTGATATTTCAAATTTCATGTTATTTATAAAAATGTATCCACTCACATGGATGAGGAAAGAAAGATAGATGATGTGGCTAATCATAGAGGCTTTGAAATGATTACAGGCCAAAGACCCTGCATTCACCAATTTTAAATGCTGAGTATCCCAATGTGTCTTAGTCTGCTCGGGTCACCATAATGAAACGTGATTGACTGGGTGACCTAAACAAGGGGGATTTATTTTCCCACAGTTCTAGTGGCAAAATGTCTGAGACTGAGGTGCCAGCAGGGTTGGGTTTGACAAAGGTTCTCTTCCGGGTTTGCACTGTGGCTGCCTCCTTGCTGTGTCCTCACAGGGCAGGGAGAAGAGGGCATTTTCTGGGCCTGTTTTCAAAAGGCCACTAATGCCTTTATGGTGGCTCATCCTCATGACCTTAGTTAAACCTAATGGCCTTCCAAAGCACTTATGTCCAGATGCTGTCAGGCTAGGCATCACAGCTGCATATATGGATTTGGGCATGTGTGTGCAGTGTTAGGATGATGTGATGACTCAGAGTCAAATCTTTCCTTGGCTAAATTTCTCCTAAGTTGGGGAATGAGGCACATAACATTATTGCTAATTCAAGCTTTGAAGTCTTACACCCCAGGGTGGAGCTCCTTTTAGCTCAGCCGAATGTCAGCTGAAAATATCATTTTAAATTTTTTGTATTATTTTCATTTTATGTGTATGAATGTATTGCCTGCATTGATGTAAGTACACCCATGTCATGCAATGCCCAAAGAGGTCAGAAGAGGACATCAGATACACAGGAACTGGAGTTATAGACAATTGTTAGCTGCCATATAAGTACTGGGAACTGGACCAGGGTCTTCTGCAAGAGCTCTTAACCATTGAGCCATCTCTCCAGCCCCTGAAAATGTCATTTTAGAAAGATGCAGAGCTATTTTCACCAAGAAGAAGGTTCAGGAACAGAGGACTCACCCCAGAGCTTGGAATAGGCTTAGAGGTTGTCCACATCAAAATTTCAGTACCTAGCTGTCCCAAGAAAGAACTGAGAGGGAAAGACAGGTAGCTTTCTTGGGTATCAAAGCACAAAAAAGAGCTACCATGTTTGGTTGATGCCTTCATTTTCATCCCTTTGAAAATCTGGCGCGTATCAAATCTAGAGCAGGGCTGGTCTAGAGTTGGCCTGGAGCTGGGCCAATCTAGATTAAGGGTTATCTTCATTGAAGTCTCCACTTCTTGACACTTGCCCCTCAGGTCTAAGGGAAAGAGAGGAGTGGGAGCTAAGACTTATACCTGTTCTAGAATTCGACATTTCCTGTTGAGCCAGTTCCATTGTTTCTGACCTGCTTTTGTTTTACCCTCTTCCCCCTCCCACCCCTTACACACAAAGGTGATTTTGAAGGATGTGGACTCGCTTCTCTATGTAGACACTGATGTTCTCTTTCTGAGGCCTGTGGATGACATCTGGAAACTTCTGAAGCAGTTTAATTCCACCCAACTTGCAGCCATGGCCCCAGAGCATGAAATCCCCAAGATTGGCTGGTACAGCCGCTTTGCCCGGCATCCTTTCTATGGCACTGCAGGGGTTAATTCAGGAGTCATGCTCATGAACTTAACTCGCATAAGAAGTGCCCAGTTCAAGGTAAGGAAGAACTTTTAAATCTTTTGTTTAAAGATTGGGAGTTAGTCTTTCCAACAGGGACATGCCTGGGGTGTGGCTGTGATCTGAGGGCTACAGCAAGTGAACGAGGGTGAAAAGATGCAGAGGAAAGCATTGGCAAAGTGATGGAAAATCCTTACAGCTATGGAATGGAAGCTTCACAGAATCACCATTCAGGAATGCTATGTGATGTTTCTGAATTCCATAGCATCTGAATTCTGCATATCCAAGGCTTCAAATACCATGCCCAATTTCTTAGATTTGCTCTCAGGAAGCATTTACATGAGGACACAGGGATACTTATGATCTCCTCTTTTGTCCTAGCAAAGAAGTAGAAAGAACCAAAATGAATATCTGTAGGGGAACAGTCATGTGTACCCCCTCACCACACCCCCCATTATCCTTGTATTAAGAAGAATGGGGGGCTGGGCTTGGTGGCACACACCTTTAATCCAAGGACTTGGGAGGCAGAGGCAGGTGAATCTCTGTGAGTTCAAGGCCAGCCTGGTTTACATAGCGAATTCCGGGCCAGCTGGGGCCACAGGGAAACCCTATCTCAAAAAGACCAAAAAAAAAAGGAAGAAGAATGGGGGGGGGGCGCTGGAGAGATGGCTCAGAGGTTAAGAGCACTGTCTGCTCTTGCAGAGGACCCACGTTCAATTTTCAACACCCACATGGTAGCTAACAACCATCCTTAACTCCAATTCCAGGGAATCCAGCACCATCTTTTAGTGTGCCTACGTACATACAAGCAGCACACTCATATACAGAAAATACAAATAAATTTTTTTTTTTAATTTTTTAAAAGTCAGGCATGGTGGCACATGTCTTTAATCCAAGCACATGGGAGGCAGAGGCAGGCAGATCTTTGTGAGTTCAAGGCCAGCCTGGTCTACATAGCCAGTTTCAGGCCAGGTGGGGCTACAGGGAGACCCTGTTTCAAAAAGACCAAAAAACCATAAAAATTTTTTTTTAAAAAGAATAGGGGCCTGGGGAGATAGCTATATCAGTAAAGTGCTTATTTTGTAAGCATGAAGACATGAGATCAATCCACAGAATCCACATAAAAAGCCAAGTGTGGGTTATAATTCCAATGTTAGGGAGGCAGAGACAGGCCCTGGAGCTTATTGGCCTGTTGGTCTAGTCTACTTAGTGAATACCAGGCCAGTGAGAGACCCTGTTTTAAAAAATGAGGTTGGCTGGGGGGTGGAGATATGGCTCAACAGTTAAGAGCACTGGCTGCTCTTACAGAGGACCCAGGTTCGATTCCCATCACCTATATGGCAGCTAACAACAATCCTTAACTCCAGTTCCATGGGATCCAGTACCGTCTTCTGGCTTGTGCAGGCACTGCATGACATGAATGCACTTACACATACAGGCAAAATACTCACACACAAAAAGTAAAAATATGTTCCCTGGGCCTGCACAACCTGCAGGCCTCTCTCCGGGGTAAGTTGATTGTGCCCTCCAAGCGCCTTGGCTCCCCCAGCCTCATTCACCCTCCCATCTCCCTGGCCCATCTCTCCTCCTAGTCTGGGTCCTTTCCCATTCCTTGTCTTGGTGCCCCAGACACCTGGGGAACTACTACTGCTTCCTGACCCTTTGCATCCAAACAAACCCAGTTCCTTCTCCAGTCCCCAGGGGCACTGCTTCTGGGCCTGGCCCCACCCTCACCTCCTTCTGCTTCCCTGGGCTTCACAACACAGCACCAGCCTCTCTCCTGGGAGCCCTAGGGGCCCGGTCCCGACCTCACCTCCCTCTGCCTCCCTGGGCTGCACAACCCTCCAGCCTCTTTCCTGGAAGCTGGGACTGACCTTTCCTTTTCCTGATCCTTTATATCCAGACCAATCCAGTTCCTCACTGCAGTCCCCAGGAGCCCTTGTGGCCTCTTCCCACCACCATATCCCTTTGCATCTCTAGGTGGGACGGCCACCAGCTGCCTGAGACCAGCATCTTTCCTGGGCACTGCTCTCAGGCCAGTCCAACCCCCGAATTATTGAGGCCAAAATCTTTACTGGAGGGATCCAGACCTTAGGAGAAAGCCGGAGAGCATCTGATCTTCATCTGACTTGGGCCTCTGTGGGAACTCCTGAACACAAAAGCAATCAGGCCACTCCAATATAAAATCAAAAGAGAGAACCAGAAGCTTAGCGGAAACAGGTTTTCATGCCCAAAAAGTAAACCACAAAGACACATAAAGTTTACAAAAAGAAGCAGACCTAAACTTGAAGGCTTGAGTCTCCCACAAGAATCAGAAACTACAAAAGAAATTCACATGTCAAAATCATAGACAAAAAACAGTAACATGAAAAAACAAAAA